GACTCTGACTCTGCCTACCCCAGGAGCTGAGCCACTTAACCCTAATCCACTATGCCCCCCCCCAATTTAGTCCATACTGGAGTGTTTGATAAGCAGTGTGGAATTTTTTTCCATAGGCAGACATCAACTCTGGCTGGGATCCCAGTCTATTGCAGGGCACATGTACACATGCATGCACTCTAGGGCAAATTAGATACTTTAATTACCCTAAAGAGCATCTCTTTGGAGTGTCTGAGAAAATGTGCACAAATTCAGGGGTAACATACAAACTCCACACACAAAGTGCCAGATTGAAGCCCATATTCTTGGAGGTATGAGGTGACAGAGCTACAGTATCCGATGTGCCGCCCCAGTGCTTCATCCAGACATCATAAGGTACAAGGCAAGGGACCAGCATAACAATGCCAGTGTATTGCCAGAAAATTGATTACCAATATAAGTAATACAATACATAAGTTGAAAGTTCTATCTGCACCAGTTTTATCAATAAATAGTGTTATGTGATGCTAGGTAAATGTCTTGTCGTGTTAGAAAAAGTGGTCAAAATAATGAATTCTGTCAATAAACTATGTGCCCAAAAAGGAATTATTAAACCAAAGCTTATGGCCAAACTTCAGTGATGTTACATCACTTTAATGAGTGAATCACCAGTGGGGTATGAATAGCTTATTACAGTATGTAGCCAAGTTGGGCCTGGTTATACTATTTGGAATTTCTGTGATTCATGGGGCCATCTAAGTAGAAGGGAATCTAGAAAATTAGAGAATTGCTACTTGCGTTAGGAATTGTGAAATGACCCCTATGTTGCTTGACATTGTCAGTTTCTGGCTTACCTGAAAGGGCAAAGTTTCATGGTAAATTTGACCTCTCCATCAACCATCCTCCAATAGCCTTTCCTGGTCAGGGTCACAAGATCTGTTTACACATTTACTGTTACTGACTATTACTGTAATTACAGTATATGTACTAGTCGAAAATATGGACTATTTGTGATCTTGATTTATTTAGACAATAAACCCAGAGACGACTTTGATTAAAATTAAAATTACATGGACCAGAAACCTCTGTATTTAAATAAAAGCTAACAGACATTAGTTCCCTCTTTACTTTAATGTCATTATCTCTGGAGATCTGTTCTGAATTTGATCCAATTAGAAAAACGAACCTATGCAGCTATAGACTTGCTCTTCTTTGCTACTCCCTCAATCGGCAGCCCTGTTCCCCGACACTTTCCTGCTCAGATCCTTCCTAACCTTCCCTTTCTTTCCAGTCTTTCCAGTTCTGAAACGTCCCAGACTTCATGCCATTTTCACACCCCCTTTCTTCTCATCTATTGTAAAATATTTTTAATTACATCATATATCTTATTTTAAATTCAGTTTATATATATATATATACACACACACACACACACGCGCAGGCGCTCCTTTACTTACGAATGAGATACGTTCTGAACGGCCGTTCGTAACTTGAAATGTTCGTAAGTCGTTATTCAACATCATTTTAAGGGTATACACAAGTACAAAGAACTACGATGCTGGGAGTACGCACGCTACGCTGCTGCACGGAGGGAGTAGCGGCCAGAAGGCGTACTAGGCGGGAGCCCAATGAACACAATTTGGACTTACAGTCCTCTTCGTTCGTATGTCTGAAAGTTCGTAAGTAGAGGAGCATCTGTATATATATATACACACACCATGCTGCCTAAATACTAGTAACTCAGTTCATCTCCGGACTTTCTAATTAACATTTTCATATGACGTTATTTACCTTACTTACGCCTCTTTAGTACTCCTACATTTCCAATTACTTTTTTTCCAGTGAGGAAGCCACATAATACAGGAACAAGGCTGGGCTACACCGAGTCCATCACATAACATAATCATACACTATGGCCTGTCCTGAGACAACAATTAGCTTAACTACATGTGTTTGGTCTGAGGGAGGCACAGGGAGAACATGCAACTCCACACGGGCAAAGCAAAAGTAGGATCTGAACCCCCACGAACTCCACTCTTTGACTCCCATTGCCATTCCATTCATCTTCACAAGCTAAAAAAAGGAAAAGTTTTCTGGGGAATTCATTGGGACAGATCCCAAAGAGCAGTTAGCATTCGTGAGTAAAATGTTACGTGGGTTATGTTCTAGAATCTAGAAGCATCAGGTTCGCTGGACGGATGCCTGCAAATTGCCCAGTTGTTGTGATCATGTATGCATGCATGTACATTTGTAGGTATACATATATATATATATATGTATGTAGGTATGTTTTTAATATTCCCCAAATCTGGGTGTTAAACGTGATCATCTTCTCCCCTTTGTGTGGGTTCCATGCTCTCTGGTTTCCTCTCGTGGTCTGAAAACGTGCAGCCTGGTGAAATGTTGACTCTAAAATACGCATAATGTGTTACTGTGCGTGTGGGTGTTTGTACAGTACATCCCATCCAGGGGCTTAGGCTCCATACTCTACATGACCCTGTAAAGGATATAAAATTGGAATAATGGCAGATAGATGGAAAGTATACATATCCATCAATTATCATCCATAAATCCAGTAAAATTCAACAAGGACAAGGACCAAACAGTGTTGTTTCCTTTTATCTGGACCCCATTAGCTCTTCTGATAGCCTTTCTATTAAAATTACATAATTGCTACTTCAGACTACAAAAAACATTAAAGCAGCCAACATGCCATATGATGTACAGCATCTGCAAAAGTACTGATGGATCGGAAAGATTGTGCTTGGGGAATAACAAATTACATTAAACAAACAAACCATGTGTTTTGTATTGTCTTTAAATCAGCATTTTGCAATTTTTAAATACACTATGCCCGTCCGTGATAAAAAATACGTTATTGCGTGTTGTGTAACTCCTTATCTTATAAAAGTAACGAAGTAAATTGGACCTTCGATTTGCAGTCGCAGACTTGCAGCCGACCAGCTGCAGTTGAAACAGTTGCACAACGAAGCTTCTTGGAGCAAAGCCACTCCTTCCATCCACGTGCTTTTCTAATTTGCATAATATTCACATATACGTGACCACCCGCCCAATCACACTCAGTAGTGAATGCCATTTGTCAGATTCGTAGCTTAAGCGAGCGAATCGGAAGGCAGCTTGGGATTGTGCCCGCCCTCCCAGACACGTTGCCCTGGGAGAAGTGACACGGGTGCTCCAAAACTGGGCTACATCACCGAAACGGCCGCGCCGGTCATGATCAGTGTTTTACCCGAGAGCCCAGTGTTTTTGCGCTGAACAAAGGGAAGTGCGATTCACTCACTTCTGGTAAGGAATGACACCATTGAACTCTCATCCGCAGTCTTTTTTTCATCCGCAGCGCAGATTTGCTGTAGACACTTGTATTTAATAGGAAGAAAGCAGTCGGGGTTCATCTTATGTAACATTATTCTTATTTTAAATTCGGAGATTCGTTTTGACTTGACCCGGGATGTTCTCCTAAAGCAAGCGTGGCGAATAGAGAAAAAAAGCAGTGCAGCCCCGTGTTTATTGGTTTTATATGCCGTAACGTGTATAAGATGGTGTTGGATGCATGTTGAGAGGAATGTTGATACAGTTGTTTCGGAATTCCATTATAATATAGCTGATTGGGTTCAAGTTGCTGTGACCAACACGGCGTCTGTCCTTCCGCAAACACTGGACTACATTTCAGGACGCATTGCATTTATTCTTTGCGCGTTTAATATGGATATTGACTGAAGTCGTAACTTTCTTTGTTCTACATATTCAGAATGTTTGCATTCTTTGTATGTTTTACGGGATGTGGAGGAATCTGTTTAGGGCCTCATCCTCATTACTACTTAGTGTAGGTGTAAAACCCGTGATCATGACAAAATTAGCAAGTTGCACCGCATATCTACAGACGTGTTTGTGTCTTTTGAAATTGATATTATTATTATTATTATTATTATTATTATTATTAATACTGTTTTATCAATGTGTAAATTTTAGTTGATGCAGATAACAGTAATATCTACTAATTTTGTTCTGTGTAGTACAATTATTAAAACCATGAACATTACATGTTTGTGTCTTTTGAGTTTTTATTATAAATGTATTACATTATTGCATGGGTATTATTGCGTGTGTAGGTATACTTGGTTTGGTGTTTGGGCCATCTGTTGAAAATCAGGCCTTTTGGCATATTTGCAGATCTACGACCCATTCTGATTATAGCAGTTTCAGATCGTCTGACGGTTTCCCTTAATTAAAGCATTTTATTATTCATATTTAAAAGACGTTTAAACTAATCAATTATTCTATAAAAAATCAACGATACAATGCTATTCACGTTAAAATATTTCTGTAATAATTTTATGCATATTATTTGAATGGGAATTAGTATCATTTAGGCCTAGTAATTACGTCACTGTTTTATTTTAGTCTCCCCTTTCCTTTACTTGTTACCTTGTGGGTAAAGCGCTAATAAATGTTCATTCAATCGTCGTTACTATTAAGTAATATTACACGAGGCTTGCCAAAATCTCATGCAATCTGTAAACGTCACTAGGGCAATGAAGGAAACCGATCAAAAGTGCATTTGTTGCATTGCAAGGTATTTCTATAAAGACGTTTGATATTAATCCTTTATTGTGGCCCTCGATGAAACGGGAGGAATTAAGAACTTTAGAAATCGACAGGAAAAAGGATGCCTATACATCTAAGTGAATATTAAACACAAATGCATGCTGGGCTGCAGTGTGGAGATTCCACAAAGCAATTGTTTGACAACCTTCAGTTAATACGTTTCAGCAGTGAGTAGACTTTCTGCTGGATTAGTGTACAGTAAGTTAAACTGAGGGTTACGTTTGTAACTCCGTTACATTGCACATTAACAAGTGCTTGTGCGCCCTCTAGAGGATTCTGGTCCACTCAATTTGCACTTCAGTACGTGCAAATTTCAGTTTGCACGTACTGAAGAAGAGGATGCAACGAAGGTAACACGTTGGCTTGGACAAAAGAAATTCCATTCATATTTGCAGTATATTTACATATTCTGAAACATACCTACCTATTACTTACAAATGAATTTATTATATGTAGCATAATACATAAAAGCTGAGTAGTTCATTAGGTGGCACTGTTGCTTCGTGTACCCAGGTTTGATGGATTTGAATCCTTCCCCAGCTGTGCATGTGGAGTTGAGTCCGTTTCTGCCTGATACTTCAGTCTCCTTCTATCATCCAAAGACATGTAATTAGACTAACTAACCTCTCTCAATTACATGGAATATGACAGTGTATGTGCCCTGTCATTGTTTCAAGGTGATCACGAACTGCATTTCACAAGAAACGCATTTGTGAGTATTAAGTCATTGCTATAATTAGAATAGGCAGTATGGACATAGGTATAAAGTACTGATTGAGTATGCATTGTGAATCATTGATTTGATGTGATATTCAGATCTTCATGGTTCTCGAGCAAATGTCCAGTCAAATTCCTTCTAAGTGAGACCTCACTTGTGCAATAAAAACCAATTCTGAATTGTAGTCAGTGTATAGGAGACTCAATATCCACTCTTCCCAGTTGTGTACTGCATCGGCTTGGCTCTTTTAACACAGGTAAATGACAAGTTGCAGTACATTTACTTTGATCTTTGCACATTTCACCAACAGTAGGTTTAAAAAAAAGCTATGAAATGTAAATTCGGTCATGCTGATGTCAAGCAGTTTAGGAGGTGCTCAGCATCTCAAAACGGAAGTTGAATCAAGTAATCTGTATTTCAGCGTCCAGCAAAACTGTATAATGGAGAACATCAGTATTCAATATGAAGTATTTCTTGCACACATGTGATTATCTGATCCAGTCTGTCTTATATATACATCAGTTTTTGAAAATGGCAAGTGTGTAAGAGTTATTTGGTCGAGTAGATAGAGATTCACTTATTCATTTGTTGGGAATGAAACATATGTCTTTCAAACATAAGTACCTCTAATTAATATAGCTACTGCATTCATTATATCAGCCATGTGCCTTTAAATTACACCTGAAGAAGTATTCCTTTCAGTATCATTCTTATTTTCCTTTTTTCCATTATAAGATTTGATTTCTTCATGTCAACACTGGCAACAAACTCAAAGATTTCAATATATTAGATTTAATTGTAGACATAAACATTTAGGATTATCTTTGCACTAAAATGTGCATCACCTTCCCAAATCCTACAATACCGAGTCAGGACTGCAGCTCAACGGGGAGTGAATTATGAGTTTCACAGATAGTGAAGTGAGATATGGATGATAACCCCTTAAATGAAAACCAAAGTATCACTCCAGATAACTGCATTTTATGGATGTTTAACATTTTCCAATTCAGTTTCCTCTTAACAATCAAGCTGTTTCAGGTCTCCCAGCCTTTAGAATTACATTTCAACAATATCTTCTAGTGAATGGGGGAAATTTGTATCTTTTCTTCCCAGTCTATTGTTTGTTTCTTTCAATTGTCGTCATGATCATGATGTTACGGTTTTCCAGTGAATGAGAGGATGCGTGTTTTTGTACTGCATCCTGTTATTGTGAAAATTAGTGACCCTAGAATTAGCTTTAAATCAAAATGTGTATCGTGAGCTTAATGCTGTCGCAAAAGCTGAGCGAACAGGCGACTGAAAACACACAGCTGAACAGCAGCAGTTTGCTAGGACCCGTTTATCCGTCTGCTTTTCAGAAAGGCAGAGGTGTACGCTGAGCAGAACTATGAGCTTCGAAGCAAATTCTTGACATCTTGAATGTTTGCGTTGAAGAAGCCCCATGTTTTTCAACCGCCTAGCATGCCTTACAGTGACGACTTGAAGGTTTTATATGCTCTACCCTGTCTATCAACGATCTTAGCTGATAAAGATCTTAGCTTCTCAGTGGAGAACTGACTGCTAACAAATGGTTTACTTGTACAGGTCAGTGATGGTCACCACAAGTTAGAAGCTGAAGCGAAAGATGTCCACTTCAGATTCTGACTGTTCCATTGACTGGCTGGCCAGTGACGAGGATGAGGATGAAGGTGCTGGCAGAGCTTTGCTTCCCCTTCCAGAGTCAGGGGGCAGCTGTGGGGCTCACAGCTTCAACCTGCGGCACGCGTCCGAAGGCAACTGCGACGCGGAAGGGAGCCCTCGCTGTGACTCACCCTCCAGCCATGCTGACTCCTTCCAAGCATGTGACTCACTGCCCCTGCCACACCAGGGAAAGCACCACTCCCTTTCCCCAAAGTGTCCAGAAAAGCCGTCGGGTATCCAGCCTCAGCTAGCGCGTAAGAGGCCCCGGACCGGTGACACGCTGGAGCCGGGGGGCCGCCAACCCCCTAACGGGACAGAAAGAGATGAGCTGTTTGCAGACAAGGTACGTCTCACTATTGAACAGGACTCACACCCTGTGGGAACAGCATCTAGGTCTAGCAGAAACAGAATCTCCTCAAAGCCCCCCTCTTCTCATCCCTCTATCCCCTTGAGTTTAACATGCATCCAGTCCCCCACCTACAGCAGAAGATGAATATGTATAAGGACTGTAGCCTGGAGGATGAAAAGGAGAGTACTTGATATTTCTGTCCTCATTAAGCATTCATTCTACCAGTGTGATTAAAAGAGTTATACAGAGATCAAAATGGCATTGTGAAATCATGATGAAGTCATTGAAACAGACTCCTGGTTTTACAGTGCAGAGACCTGCAGTGCTTTATTCGTCCGCTGTCTTCGATCCTGAATTCTCTGCGATGTGGAAGATACAGGGAACGTGAGTGATTCATCCATTTCTCCTGGCTAGTTAAGCTGCGATCCAGCTCCCACTCTTGCTTCCCCCGCCTCTCGCCCCCCCTTTAATATTCCACCACGCAGACGTCAATGATCTCAGGGCCTCCTTTGTGCGCTGAAAGCAGCGTCTAACAAAACAACATCCCAGATAACGTGAGTGAAGGGTCAACAAGGTGCCATCAGCTACATGGTGTTTGATGCGACGCCGTAAAATAACTAGCAGTGTTCACATTATCTTAATTGTCATTGTTGCACAGAAAATAGATGAGTGTCCCGTTAGTGTATTCAAGAAAAACTTTCAGAAATTCATTCAAGTCCCTGAACATTGTCTGATTGGTGTAAGCTATTTAAATGTTTATTCATATTGTTGAGTTGTAAGAAGCAGTGTTCCCGGTACCATACATATTGTACCCAACCTATTGTCTAGAATAGCTTTCCATACCAGTGACCAGACCAAGTAAATGAAAGGAAATTCTAGGAGAGAGTTCAGTCTGGAACTGGACTCGCATCAAAACACTGCATGACGACTGGATGACATTTGACTATTGTAGTGCTTCTGGGAACCCATCTGGCTAATTGTCTTGACCACATAGAGTGGAATCGATGGGAGTGCAAAATTGCCGTCATTAAATTCAATCCTCCTTTGTAGGTCTCAGCAGTTTCCAGGAGAGCACTGCTATAGACAGGCTCCAGAGGATAATGGGGATTCTACAGAACCCAGCAATGGGGTAAATATTGTGTTCTCCTTCATCCACCACCTCACTCTGCAAGCTCCGTGAGCCATTTTACAGATTAGTGTTTGGATATGTAGCCGTTGGTTTTGGTTTGAATGTGATGGCTCCTTCCTCACTCCCCATGTCGGATGATGCATCGCAACACACTACTGTAGTTGACAGGGAACCAAACCAAGGCTCAGACACACTGAGATATTTAGTGCAGATGTTGCAAAGAGTGGAGGGTCTTCGTAAACATGTACTAACCTCTGATAGTCTGCATTCATTCTCTCAGTTGTTCTTATTGACACAAGACCGTCAAAATAGTCAGAAACAGTGTGCTGTAGTTGAGGTCACTTATGGTACTGCAAGTTAATGCAGGGATAAAAAGACAAGAACCTTCACTTGTATTTATTTTGGAAAGATGGGAGGTTCTGATTTCCAGTCTTGGTTTTGTTGGTAAAAAAATGTTTGAAATATTCCTTTTTCCTCAGTGAACGTTACATCAACATCCTACTGAAAGTGGAGGAGTTACTTAAGACCTGGTTCCCCAACATAAAACCTAGAAGTGAAGTCTTTGACCAACCTGAGCATACCTGTCTTCGGAAGAAGCAGAAGGTACCTGTTTCTGGGCTGTCATGCTGCACTTAAATAACAGGACATGGAAAGGGGGAGCAAACAGGAACCTCTGAATAATCTCTAAAATTAAAATACAAGTTATTTTCAGATTGTGTTCATAGAAGTAACCAAGTTCATTGAAGGTTTGAGATGAGTGACTTTTTTTTTTTGGAGCAGCCTCTGAAGAAAAAAGTCTAACATATTTAATTCTGTTTTGTTAAATTGCCCCTGTTCTGTGTGTGTGATGAGTTTGCATGTTCTCCCTTCGTTACGTGGGTTTCCTTCATGTAAAATGCAGATACATGCCTCTAAATTGCCCATTACTGCGTGCAGCCTGAGACAGACTGGTATCTGCTATGTCATGCCATATAACCAGACAATGATACAGTAATGATTTAAATTCATCCATCCATCTTCCATCCTGTTTATCCAGGACAAAGTCACAGGGATTTGGGGAATATACAGAGTGTGATGTCAGTCCATTGCAGAGCCTGTACAAACACATTATGTGCAATTCACCTAACTGCATGGCTTTCGGCGGTGGGAGGAACACAGAGTAACAGAGATCACTCCACACGGAGTGACACAGGGCGATTACAGTAAAATCCAGATGCATGACTATTAATAATCCCGACTACGTATCTGCGCTGGATATTACCGGAACGCCATGCACCTTGTAGGCGGAGCCTGCATGTCCGTTATAGCCGAACAAAACTACAGCTAAAAGCGGCCCTGGGGACCAAATTGTTTGTCCGCTATAAGCGAAATTCCGTTATATGCGAGTCCGTTATATCCGATGCTTTTTCTGCATGTTCTTAAAGGCGCACGGCCGGGACCAGCGGACCTCGTCTGTGATAGACGATATTCCGTTAAAGGCGAGTCCACTATAACGGGATTTTACTGTACTCCACACAGAGTGAACCAGGGTGATTACTCCCCACATAGCAGAGGGTAGGGTCCAAACCAAACTCTGGCAGTTTGAGGGTCCAGTGCTACTCACTGAGCCAATCAGCTTGCAGCATGCTGATGTTTGGTCTAATTCTGTAACTTCTTAAGAAGAATCCCAGTTTAAAACAATGAGGAAGAACATTAAACTCTGTTTTGATCTCGTACAGCTTGTCTCGACCAACACTGCCGTCGGCACCGCAGAGGCTCACTCCGCCTGTCAGTCCCTGAGCGTCCCAAATACCATGGCAAGCCCCTACTCTGCCACCAGCTTGAAATGGCTCCACGTGTCTCCCATTTGCTCGCCGGGCCTAGAGCCGGGCCTCATGGGGCTCCACCAGCGGCCGCCACGGCGGGACGATGACGCCACGCAAGACAACGCCGTCTCCTCCAGCAGCGACGCCAGGACGGAGTCGGCAGGCGGCCGGCCGCCCCAGGGCAAGATCAACGCGCCGTGCTTGGAAAGACTGCTGAAATCCACGGAGAGCATCATAATGAGCAAAGGTGCCGGAGGCTCGAAGAGCGGCAGCTGCTAGCACACGGGGAAGGTGGGAGTCTCCGTGCCGACCAAAACACTTCCAGTCTGTGGGACACGCCGGATGAAGAAGGACAGGAACGAGATCACTATGCACGAAGGCGCTGGTGAAAATGACAGACACTGAAGCTGATCCTGTCTTCAAAGTGCACATCTGGATCCCTTTAATAATTTTTTTTTCATATACACTCTCATTGTGCTCAAGACCATCTTGATAAGGATGAGAGGACTGCACGAGCCAATTTCCCAGCCTGGCTGCATGACTGCTAGCTGCATCACTGCATGCAGATGGGAACCTCTTAAATATAGGAGGATGAGCCTCATTATCTGTGACCAGGAAAAGGGAATCGTGAGCATGTAGTAGGAATGAATAGAACATTGGAGCACTTCTCTGATGCGTCCAAAATATTCATATAAATGTGATGTATGGAAGTTTTTTTAATTCATGCCGAAACTGCGGAGTGCCATGACTGTTACTTCATCAATACACCGCTACTTAAGATTCGGATGCAACACTTCTACCTCAGATTGACAAGGTGCCTCACGAGTACCTGTAGCAAACACCCGGTCATTGAATCGTTGGGTCTGAAAGTCCTGGGTGCGATCCCAGGTGATGGACCTTCCATTATCGTGGATGAAATATCTTCTTACCAAGTGTATGTAAAAAAAGCTGGTCAGTAGAGTACACCCATGCCTCAGTTGAAAATAAATGTTAAGGATACGATAAGGCTGCCATTTTGTGTACCACGAAAATGATTACATTCTTATCCGTCGCTATTTGTGGGCATGTGTCATAACACTAATTCTGTGTGACAGAACTAGGCAATGGCTTACTGAGCTAGAAGAGATGGTATATCACTTAGTGTAAATATGTGAACAATGTTCCAGGTTGTTAATTTACCCAACAAAGTGGCCTTCAGAGTGTGATATTTTTTACTTTGAGAATAAATGTTGTTTTGTTTTGGCGTACAAAGTGTTTCCTCGTTGTCTGTTGGTCTACTTTACGTCAACAGCCCGTCTCAGCAACCTTACATGGCATTAAATAGGAAATACTGTCACCTAATTCTATGGAAAATTTGGAATGCATTTGTGTCACAGAACTTAGCCTATAAACCCAATGTAAATGTTTCGTTCTCCCCAAGATACACTCTCAGACAAAAGGATACAAACTACAAACCTACAAGCTTGTCACTGGGGCTGTGCCCTCAACCGTCTGCCAATTGTCCCCTTAGCTGTATGTAATTGTACCTTTTAAGGTACAGAAATGGACTCTGAGGAAGATTTCTGTACTCTTGATGGTACATGTTGTTTGTACTTTTAGAATGTTTCTGAGTCAATTTCTGCTCCTTAAAAGTTACAATTACAAGGGTACTGCCCCAGTGACAAGCAAAGGTTCACATCTTTTCCCTTTTTTTCCCCTCAGAGTGTAGTGAATAACATAATTCATAATAAATATATTTGAATAAACCATTAAACACAATAAAAGAAGCATTATTTTCTGGTAAATATATTTTATTCATATTATTTCTGTGTATTTTTGTAGTGATTCAAATCGAATGTAAAAGCAGAACAAATCAGCAAAATCATTTCCCTTTAGTATTTTCTGACGTTATGTTGGCTATCCCCCACTGCGACGAATGTAAGAAAAATAATTCTAATAATACTGGATTCAGGTTTTACTGTTTAAAGCTAGGACAGCGTTCACCGCGTGCACTGTGTGCTAAATAAAATTCTTTGAATTACGTCAAACCATCCAATACATGTCATTTCCAATGAGAGTATATCTGGTGACCTCAAACGACAATGTTATGGCGTATTCTGTTTCTTTCATGTTGCATATTTCATGGAAACGATCGTGTTGATTTAACCCTCGTCTATGCACTCCTCAGACCTGAACATTAACATTAAATGTTTATTTAGATGTCAAATATAGTGAAGCTCCCCGTACATGTTAACGATATAAGCCTGTGTGAATCATCCCAAACGCACATGCCACCTTCCCATATTTTAAGCGAGGTTAGTTTTTCCTAAACCGCGTTGCCAGTGTTATTCTTGCATATAATCTACGGATGCAAGATTATTTTTTTTTATCTATTACACTACCTAGCATAATGTGCAAATAATTAATATTTATTATCTGATTTCCTAGGATATTTTGCTTAGGTTAATTTGAAAAGAAACGTGCACAAAGCTTTTTTTTTTTTTTTAAACAGTTAACATCCTACCTTTTAATGCATGTGTACAATGTGGCGCCGTTTGCGGAGAATTTCCGGAGTTACCGTAAAAACTGCACTGGCGTAGGATCATGAACATTACGAGTCTTATCCTTCCATCACCTCACGGTGCGCCGCGTGGTGGAAGTGTTGCAATGGCTCATCTATGAACAGAAAACAATAAGCCCACTGAAAAGGCAAGCTGTTTGTATATTTTAAAAAAGTACCATTTTATTCGGCTCTTAAAAATCCACGTTCATATAGCCTGGAAAATTGTGAATTGAACCACGCGTAAAAACTTTGCAATGCAAAGTCATATGGATTAAACGGGATGCTTATTAAAATCCATATTTATAAGAAACCCTAAAAAAGACTCCCTGACTGTGTAGTTAAGAAAATAATATTTGCAAAGATCTAATCGCGGCTGGTGATGGCCTCACATCAAACACGATAATTCTGATCAGTATCTCCTGAAAAATGCAGTGTGCTTGTGAATATGTTTTTCTTTGCACAGGAAGGAGTACACCATAGTTCTAAATAAAACCCTGCCATAAGACGAATGTTTTAAATGATTCTGTTAGACCGACACTTTATAAAATGTATTAACTGAGAGCATTTTTAAGTATTCTGGTATTGTGTCACGGTAACCATCACTGAAGTCAGTGGTGGTTCTAGCTTGTATGCAGCCCTGGGTGATGATTCCCCCCACCCTAAAGCCACCCCCACCCCCCCAAGCAAAAATGGTGTGTTTTTACTAATTGCATTAATACTGGAGAAAGGCAGCGGTGAGCTTTGTGATAGATTCTCCCGCTCACCCTACCTCGGGCTTCCAGTGGTGCGACCTGAGGTCAAGCCCCCCCCCCAACCCCTCCTTCTCAGTGGTAGCCTGCTTAGGTCTCAAACTATAATCAGGGCGCCCACTCCGACACGGTAAGTTGACCCTCACGGTGACATGATACCATTGACATGATGTGAAAATTAATGATAAAAACCAGTCACGCAAATGTCACCATTCCGTTTTTGTTTTTGCGGACACCCTGGGCAGCCACCCATGTCGCCCATACCTAAATCTGTCAGTGACTGAAGTCACATTTTAACACATTTACTTCTGACAGACTGTCGCAGCTACAGCTTTCTGTACCGATTTTAATTTAAAATACAAATTACCGATACAACAGAGGTTCGGTTTTATTTGGCGCTTTTAATAAAAATGTCATTGAGTCTTTTAAACTGTGATAGGTTGTATCCTTTAAATTTAAGAAATTGGGATTAATGACATTGCCCCCCCCCCCTTTGAGGGAGGACTGCGTTGTCGGCTGGTGAATTTATTAGTCGTGTTGATGTTTTCAGCCCCTTTTGCAGAAACAGAACTGAAAAATACACGCTAAATACTTCCAATAAAACATCTGATACAAATGACTTGACCAAAAACATTACTGATTCACCTTTACCAGCAGAGGAAATACCACAACCAAATCAACCTTTGTATGAAACACCTGCTGAATCATCCATAAAAAAGTAGTGGCACAGGTACTGTTAACTATATAACATCATATATAACATCAAATCTAACCAGTTGGTCAGTGGGATCTACTGCAGTAAAGGAACAACACACTAATATTTGATTATGAACCACAATCAAATGTTAGTTCATAGTTTAGCACTTGTCTCGCATACATCTGTGTAGTTTTTTGTTCAAACCTCCCAGTTGTGATTAGAACTTTGATTAGAGCTTCCTCTTGTGTGTGTGTGTGTGTGTTTAATTTTTTCCATACATTCTGCTTCTGAATATCTTTAGGATTTGTACTTCTCATGTTTCTCACAAGTGTGGATATTTAGGTCAGGAAGAAATATGCTCGGATCCTTGAAGAATTTTTCTGATATGAACATTGGTGACACTTCATGAAATGGAGATTATACTTTGATATAATATGCGATTCGATTAGTAGTTATTGGAAGCTCCATCACACTATGGAGATGCAACACAAGCTAAGAATGACATTTCTCTCACCATAAGGCTGTTTTATGCTTCAGGTGATATATTACTGAGCCTCTTTCTGATGGGAACTTTGTTACAAAATGTCTTGATATATTTTTTAGAACATATCTCACGTATAGTAGTAATTCAGCTAAGTGTTTAGACTGTAATCACAGCATCTTTAAATCAGAATACTCACCGATGTGATTCACGTGTTACAGGCCTGTGTCTGAAGTAAGTGACTAATTATCACCAGACTGTAGGTGGAGAAATGTCACTAAGACACTTTCCTGTTTTGATGTTACTTTGCTTCTTCACTGACATCTTGGGGTGACATGATGTTACAGATAGTCCCACATGTCCAAGTCTGGGGTTCCTCCCACTCTGCTCTGTGGGGGTGTGGAGTTTACGTGTGCTCCCTGTGTGTAAGTTCCCTACATGTGTTCTGTTTCCCCCCTGAATGGTAAAGCTAGGTTCACTGGTATGTCTAACTTACTCATTAGCAAACTGCCTGTGATAGACTGTAGTCCCATCTTGGCTGTACTTGTGCCCCGTGGGTTCAGAATAAGCTTTAGGGAACCCTAACCAGGATATATAAACTCCAAATACCTGAGTTGAAAGGCCTGATGAATCTGTTGCAGAATCAGCCCTAGTTTAATAAGGTTTACTGCTTCACAGTAAAATAAATCTAGTATCCATCCATTTTTGATACTATTCCATCCTATGCAGGGTGGCAGGGCTCTGGAGCCTGTCCTGGAAGCTACTGGCACAAGGCAGGAAATAACCCAGGATGAGTCACCTACCAATGGCGTAACTTTGTCTGGAACATTGGGGGGGTTGAGGTCTCCACCCATTACAGGGGAAACATGATTATTGGGGGGGGTTGTATTAGCTGTTTTGTTTTATTGGGGGGGGGGCTACAACCCCCCCATCCCCCCCGTAATTTACGCCCATGCCACCAACCCCTTTGTGGGGAACACACATGTAGCCACACCCACAAACAGTTTGACAAATTCAAATCACCTTATGTTTTTGGATTGTGAGGGGAAACCAGAGAACCTGGAGGAAACTGCACGACATCACATGGAGGACGACAGACACGTGACCGGCGTGGAGACTTGAACCATGGTTGGACACCGAGCCACTATGCCATCCTAAGTGTGCTATAATATAAACTGGTTTATTGCCAGCCTTCAACCCACAATGGTTGGAGTGCCTAGTTCTCTGGTGCACACTCAGTCCATTCAGCTACACAGTGACCCAGGGAGCCATGAGACTACAACAGGAACTGGGAAAGATGCTGCACCTTAGGAAACACAGAGAAAAGAACGAGATGACCAGCGACACCTGCTGGCCAAATGGTTTAATGATGGACGAGGCAGGGACTGATCCTGACAATAAACTATAAAAATGGATCATTCTGCATTCCAACAGCCACTGTATTTTGCACCTGATATGAAGTTTAGGGGCTGTCACTGAGCACAGAATGCTTCTGTTGTGGATTGGTCCCTTGAAGGTCTATATGACATATACAGATACAAACAGTGCTGCTGGATGGTGATGCGTGATGCGATTCTTGCAGAACTTTTTTGCTATTTGTTATAATTCAGCAAAGAATCCATCACAAACCAAAGGTAGAGCAGTATTTGAATATTTTACATGAAAATCTCAGATAAATGACGAACTCTTGCAAACTTTTTTTTTTAATGTGAAACATAAATTTTGTGCCCTCCAAAGTACTAGGAATTGTTTTTAACTAGAAGGGTATTATTTTGATTAGTAAAGTTCTTTCACTAAAAAAAATAGAGAGGTAGGTGGGTTTTTCCATTGCACCTTTTATGAGCCAATTTATCAGCCTGTAATATACATATATACAGTAGCCCCCCCCCCCATACACCTTCCAAGACCTACTGCAAATATCCAAAACGGTGGATAACTGATAAATTATGTACAGTATGACATTACCAAAAATAAATACGGTAATGATAATGTACATCTTACATTATTATGTAGTACTGTACAGTACTGCATAATACTGAAAGGGATTCTGACATTTTAGTGTAAATTAGTGTCAAGAAACAATAGAGAAAATGAAAAATGTCATGTATCAAGGGATGATGAGGGCAATTGAGATCGTGTTTCTTTACAATCCTTCAAAGGAGGAAGGAACAATGAAAAAACATTGTTACACATTTTACAATAATGTTTCTTTGGACTGTGGTGAACCGCAGATGACTAAAACCTAAACAATATATATATATATATAAACCACCTGCCTAATAGTGTGTAGGTTTCCCTTGTGCCACCAAAACAGCTCTGATCTGTTGAGACATAGACACCTCAAGACCTCTGAAGATGTCTTGTGCTGTCTGACACCAAGACGTTAGCAGCAGATCCTTTATGTTCTCTAAGTGGCCCGTGGGGCCCTCATGGATCAGGCTTGTTTCTCCAGCACGTCCCACAGATGCTCGATCAGATTGAGATCTGGGGAATTTAATGGCCAAATCAACACCTTGAACTCCTTTTCATGTTCTTCAAACCATTCCTAAACATTTTTTGCAGTGTGGCAGGACATATTATCCTGCTGTATGAGCCCCCTGCCATCGGCAAATAATGTGGCCATTACTTTCCTTCTTCCAACACATCAGCTTCACGAACTGACTGTTCACTTGCCTAATATGTACTGCCACCCTTGTTAAGTGCCATTGCAATAAGATAATAAATGTCATTCACTTCACCTGTCAGTGGTTTTAATGTTATGGCTGATCAGTGTATATTACAAAAATGTATATACACACAGACATGCACACAGACACACGCACACACGCAAGCACACACACAGACACACAGGTTTGTAATTATATCTTTGTGGGGACTATCAATTCATTTTTATGGGGAAAACTCTAATCCCAACAAGATGACCTACCCAGCCCTAACCTTAACCTTAAATAACCAAACAAAATATACTTTTGGCATTTCTAGTTTTTTGATTGCAGTCACAGATCTTTATGGGGACCTGAAAAAATGGTCTTTTATTAAAAAGGTATTTATTACATTGTGGGGAACATTTGGTCCCCACAATGTAATATAAACATAATCCACACACACACACACATGTACAGTACAAACACAGATATATAACAAAATACTTACATATTACATATTTTTGTTACGTACAAACATTACGTACAAAGATACTTTTCTTATATCATACTTTTCCAGGTCCCGTGCTGCGTGTTTTGTTACATGACGTAACAATGTGGTGAATCCAATGTGCAAAAACAACTAAGCAGTGATGGATTCAAAACCATGAGTCTAACGGGTCATTCAGGCTTTCACTCTCTAAACAAGCACGCAAACGAAAAAAACCATACAGTGGGTTTCCGCCGCCTGTACGGTTTCCTGTCAGTGAATCACATGTTGCCTGTGGAATAAAACTCTTGCAGATTTTTTTTTTCCCTTTCCACTCATCTCCAGGAAACTTTCTTTCGTATGCAAACATGATACATGTGTTCTGTCGTTACACAAGGACACCAATTTTCCGAGAACACGGAAAAGTAAATGTCACGCAAGTATATTACACAATTCTGAGCTGTACCTCAACAGAAAGCATTTCCACCCCTCTGAAGTACATCCGTGAAGAGGCGAATCATCACAACTTATTATTCGAACATCATCAAAATGAGATTATGGTCACATCATACATGCCGAAGACTCTCAAAAGGTATGTGTATCACCCGCTCGCGTTTCTTTAAACTGTAACACTGTTTTTATTATGCTGAAAAGGACCTGAGCATTTTTTCTTAAATGATGGTTGCAAAGTAAATTCATTATCTTTTTAGGAAAAGAAAATTTAAAAACGTTTTTTTTTATTTATTTAAATGTTTTCTTTGATTTCTTTGTAGCATTTTTACATATTCATGCTTGAATAATAGTAAGCAGTTTAAGATATGCAAGTATAAGATAAATTATACTATTAAGCTAGCCTATTAACTTATAAATTAAATCTATTACTGTATGTTCTTATTTTTATTTTCAGGACTTTTTCACAGTGTAGAACTTAAATTTGTTGTACTGTGTTGATCTATTAATACACATTGAATTTCGTACATTAATTGTAACATTATGAACCGAACTGTGTACGGCAACTACAGTATAACCAGTTTTTTTTTTAGTTTGATATCTTCAGGCTAGTGTCTGGCTTTATGTCTGTGGCTGCTGTCTAAGGGCTCGTAAAAAAATCTTTTATTTCTTTTCAAATGAAAATTTTAATATTTGACATTACATATTAAATATAAAATTTAAATATGGTTTGGTTGAATATATTATCTATAATAGGCAGGTACTGAAAGAAACTGAAAAAAAAATCTCACCATTATAACCATTTTATCAGCCTATTCATACTGCAAGAATACTATAGTACTTTATCATAGGTAAAGCAAGAGATCCCCTTATGGGTATTCATCACACAGTCTGTCCACCACGGACAGGGTCTTAGTTATTTGAGCACTTCTCCCCTGACGTTGCCTTTCTTTCCTTAGAGACTCCGCGCCTCAGTGGCTCCAGCCTGGGACTTCAACGTAGGCCTTTACCAGAGGAAATCCCGATGGATGAGAAGGGGCCAGTGGCTCAAACGTTTCGCAGGTGCCTGCTGTCCAATCTGAAGGTAATGTGCTTATAAGCGACACTAAGGGCTAAATACCAAAAGCTCACCTCTCTGCCTGTTGTTCACCAGTGATTTCATGTGTGTGGGTCCTTCAGACACACACAAAAGCAACTTAAGATTTCATAATTTCAATTGACTTTGAAGAATTTGATCGTGACTATTGCGTACTTGTGTCTAACATTATTTGTGTATTTTGATGATTGTGAGTTGACATATTTTGATGTCTATGTTATTTCATACTGCATCTTTTTATGTTTTATTGTTAACAATTTTTATTAATTCTAGTATTCTAAAATCGTCTTTTTATAAAGTATTTTGAGCTGCCTTTCTAAACTAAAGGAGCTATATACAAATAATAATAAACTGATTACTATAGTTTATAAATAAGCCATTTACTGCTTTTAGATTAGCTAATGATCAAGTACCCAATACCTCAGTATAAATAACCATGAACATATATCATGGATATATTATTTATTCATAATATTTATTTGTTTATTTACCACATGTTCATAACTACTTATAGTGCAAAATATATTAAACTATGTACGACCTGCAGGCAGTGTTCATAGGTACTGGTTCTCTTTCATGGACACATTAACTGACAACAAAGTTTAATTAAAGCCCAGTTTTTATTCCCTGTTGGTAATAAAATGATGGTAGTCAAAATCAAAAGGAACCTCAGACAAAGGAATATGAACCAGGAAAATTAGCTCATCGGAGGATCACCTGAACTATCCCCTAAAGATACATCAATGTGAGACGAATGTCGTAAGTAACTTCATTCTGATCTCTGCCTGCCGCACAGGAGAGCCGAGGGCCGACGGCACCAGCAGCGGCCGCCCTGTGTGGGGACACTGCTTCCAGACTCCAGCAACTGGCCCTGAACTGGTTTACGGGCACACACGCTCCTCTCCTCCTGCACGGCGACAGCTTCCCAGCCTGGTTCCAGGGGTTCATTAGCAGGAGGTAAGAGAAAAGAACTCCGCAGTGGATGGAAGAGCTCAGTTTGATGTTAGCAGTGTGAGAAACCCTCCGAGGTGCATTTTACTCAGTTTTATAAGTTACATCCTGAGACCCCTTGAATATTTCACATTCATTTTGCATGAGCATCACTGCAGTTATGATAATGAAAGGTCAATTCTCTGATGTACCATAAATATTTCTATTAAAATGACAAATACGCTTATCTATGCTATGATTAGGCCATAAATAATCATTTTAAATGGGATATTAAGGGGTATTCAGTGATGGGTTGGTGTCCCATACTGGGTTGTTCCTGGCCTTGCACCCATAGCCTCCTTGATAGGCTCCGAACTGAAGCGCTTTCCGAAAACAGATGGATGGATATTAATGGGTACTTAAAATAGATCAGTATATAATTTAAAATGCATTTTACACACCGGTAACAGCTTGTTATTTGTTTTATTTTAGCAGTACTTTCTTTGATTGACAAATATGTTTGGAAAATGTTACTTGCTTACTGGGAGAAAACAAATTTTTTTTATTATATTTGGTTCTTTATTTAGAATCAATGAACAGTCTCAGATAATAGTATAGAGCAGCGGTCACTACCTGGACCGGAACAACTGAATCCAAACTGTGCGATGTCTAATATTCTTGTATATAAATATTATTTTTAATGGTAGTTTTTTCTTTTTACCCGTTTAAAAAGATCATGTTATGGTTTTACTTAAACACACATAATTTAATGTGTGTATCCGCGTATTCATTGTAAAAGTTACATTAGGTTATAAAAGCATTTAACTTTCGGTGAGAACAGGACAGAAAACCACAGGAAACCACAGGATTCAAGACGGTTAATAAATATTTATGTTGAATGCTGAAAAACGCGAGTCAATGTATTTTTCACATAAGGCCATGAATAACATTCGCAGGCCTTCATTTCAGTACGACCTCCAAAATTAGCGATTGTTCTTGTTTTGGTGTTTAGATAGATATAGTGGAATTATTACCATGTTTCATATGTAATAATATTTGGTTAGTTACTGGGGTGTTTTTTTTTTTTAACCAGAGCAAACTGTGTAGTTTTTGCAATAAACATTCTTATTTAATAATATGTAATAGATTAAATGAAGGAATTAAAGTAGAGGACTGTGTATAAAGGAACATGACCTGGGTTAGAAGTCCAGATTTAGACCTGTATGTTACCATGGTTTTTAAAAATAATTTATTATTTTTATAGGGATGCTGAAAACCAGCTGAAAGACAAACCTGTGGGGTGTTTTCTCATCCGGCTCAGCGACAAGGCCGCCGGATACATTCTCTCCTATCGGTGAGTTCCATACTCTTTCTATCCCTCCAACCCACACAATCCTGCTTTTACTCTTTAAGTCTGTAACCGTCACCTATACAGTGATGGATCTTCGACACTTTCAGGTGTTGAAATATGTAAAGAAATACTCACTGGTGATTCATGCACTTGGAGACTTTTGACTTGGCTTGATCTGACTGTTCCAGAGGGCGCGATCGATGCCGTCACTGTGTCATCACCCAGAACGAAGTGGGGAAATTTATTGTTGTAGGAGACACCGAAACACACAGCACCCTGTCCGGCCTGATCAAGTACTACAGATCCCATCCGATTGAGCCTTTTTGGGAATATCTGACCTCGTCCTGCCACGAGGTGAGACGGCCTGTTCTTCACATACTTCTGAAGAATGAATGCAGTGTTTCGGGCTGCTAAGTTCCTAACAGTGAGTGTGACATCTACGCAGTGTTCCACTACTGATATTTACGACGTGGTCCAGCCCAGTGGACCGAACGACTTCCCCACTAACTGGGCTCCCACCGTGCCCCCCAGGAGCAACAGGAATCCTGCTTTAGCCTCTAGATATTCAGAACAGCCACAGGTAATTATTCCCTCATATATCTTTTGTTATTCAGGCCTTTGCTAGTTGCTGATATAAGTTCTTGCTCCAACACTGTGCTGTTTCTGTATCTCTGAAGCTGACGGGGAGCTCACCTGCAAAATCTCCAGTGGATGGTGCTCTGGAAGAGAGGTGTACTCGTAAGAATCAAGTTCCACACACTAAATTGGGGCAGAACCCGGCATCGGAAAGGATTCAGCCCCCATTGGCAATCAGCGGTGGTCCGCACAGAGTTGAAGCAGTGCAGAGGAGGGTTCGCAGAGGCCACCACGCAGGTGGTTCCAAGCAGACTGAGCAGTTCCAGTGTGGTACGGAGACTGTGTACTCAGAACTGCAGGTGGAGGACCACAGCCAGAAATGGGTACAAACCAAGCAGCGGCCTTACAAACATGGCAGCTCGCCCCGGGATCTATCTTTATTAGACAGAAACACAGGAAAAACAATGAACAAACTCTGCAACAGTCCAGTGTTTCAGAAGACCAGAGGACGTCTCGAACAAGGCCGGAGATGCACTGACACTCCCCTGGTCTGGCACGCACTCCAGCATGACAGTGTGATCTACTCCACAGTGTGTCACCACCTTACTCAAGGCAGTACTCATGCTCAACACACCTACGCGCAGGACTCAGAACCGGGCTACCACAGTGCTGCCATGGCAACGCAAATGAAACACAGGAGCACCTTTAGCCCAAACCCTTAGACTCCTGCTGGGAAAAATGAAGCTGGCATTTGGCAAAATGATACTGTGATTATGACCACGCTAGGGACTCATACTCTTTCCAGAGATAAAGTTTCTAGAGGACAATGTACACTTAGAATGAACTAACTAGTCTTGCATTTTTGTTCCTTCCTGCGTTGTTTTTTACACACTATTCCTACAGTTAAATTGAGTTTTGAAGATGCATATGTTGAATGAATGGAAAGTTTGAGTTTGTGTAAATGTAAAACTTTAGCAATATTTATTACATATTTATGCATGTAAATCATTAGGACAGCTGGGCTAGAACAGTCGTTGACACGTATATGTGAGGAATTTTCATATTTAGACTTTCCTTGTCATTGTAAACTTGGTGCTTTATTTGTAGAAATTTATGGACAATGTTTCACTAATTTATTTATTTTGTTTATCACTGTTAATGACTGTGAGCTATATTATATTTTGTCATGCAATCAGCGATTGTCTGTATTGTTACATATTACACATATTCTGAAGTTCAATTCTGAAATGAATTTGTCAAGTCAAAGCGTGCTGCAGTCCTCACATGCCGGGAAGGATGGAGGACACAAGAGCAGGATTATGGGGAAATGTAGGGACTTTACTGAAATCAGAAGAACCAGGGTAAGAAACAAAAGGGATCATGCAGGATCAAAAACACTAACACTGGGGAACAGGTCTGAACACAGACACAGCTGGGAGAGACATCAGTGACAGAACTAGGGAAGACAGGACTGGCAGGCACTTATACGCTGGGTTAATGAGGGAATAAATGAGGATCAACAGGAGGCAGCTGGAGTGAGTTAACAAGGGGGCAGTAACAAGAAGAAAGAAACACAGAACAGGAGCGGGTCCTTAGAGCCCTGCTGGGGGGGGGGGGGGGGCAGGTATGCAGGGCGTGACAGGAGTAAACAAAATGTTTTTATACATAGATTACAGGACACACAGGATTCATGGCTGTAAAAATGTCCTGGGTTGGGATGGCAAAAAGAACCAGGTACATATAATGGTAATAAGAAAATCAAGGAGCTGAGGTGGGGGAAAAAAATTTATTTAAAACTGATGGGTTTTTGGACCAAAGGAATCAAATGAACTGGACTCGATTTCTGGTCTTGAAAATTGCATTTAATCTACACTGAAGTCGGTGTTATGGGTGCTGAGGCAAACGCACAGTAATACAGACACACAAGGAGCAGGCGGAGCCAAAGGATGCAGTTAAACACAGTAATCTGACTCTCCATCGCTCCTCCACAGTGGCTAAAAGGGCAGTCTGGTTTGCTGAAACAGCGCATCATTTCTGATGATATCATGATAAGAAGGTTTCCATCTGTCGCTCAGCATGAACACAAGCATTGTTATCTCCATGATCATCTGAGTCAGCCCTAGTAGCATTCTAGATGCATATTCGAAATTTAATGGACGCTGAATGGTAGTTAAAAATAACAGCAGCTTGAATGGATGAACATAACACAGACCATCTGTGAAATTCCAGGGCTTCGTGGACATTTATCATTACATGTCAGGTGTGAGGGGAGCAGAGAAGTTTGGGGCGCCGAAAGAGCCTGCAGCAACTACTGATGGTTCAGCTTTATTTTACTTGTGGGAAAAATGTGTGAATATGTGATATTCTGCAAAAATCACAAGTCCTGTTCTCTATCTCAATATTTCAGAATCCGGAACATTGTCCCAAACATTGTCACAGTGCTACGGAAGTTTTGGCCATGTAGGGTGCAGACTTACACTTTAGGTATGCAATTAAGTGTTCTACTTCAGTGGAAGGGAATGTGTGTGTGTGTGTGTGTGTGTGTATATACTGTATATATATTTTTTTTCTATCACACACACACACACACACATATAAATAAAATGATCCATACTCCATACTATTGCAATATATTTAATATATATTATTAGATAATGATATATATTATTTGCAGAGAAAGTGGAACTGCAATGGACATGATCAGTATGGATTATTTTCCACTTACCGTACTTTTTATGTTTATTATCCATTCATTTTACATATCTGATTTTATCCCAGCAGAGAACCAAATTATAGACAGAAATCATCAATCTTATAACCACTAATCCAGTATAGGGTCAGAGAGAGTCTGTAGCCTATTCCAGGAAGCATAGGTTTGAAGGGGATCGGCAGGGACAGGATGCCAGTCCATCATAGTGCTCACATACATCTACACACTATCGGTAGTTTAGAGACACCAGTTCAATGCGTGTCTTTGTACTGCTGCAGTAAACCTGCACATACAAAGAACAGGGGCGGGAAGTGTGAAGTAGTAATATAACAACATTGTTGGGGGTTTTATAAATGCAGACTGTGGTTTGTTATGACACCTTGTGTTTCATCTGGAGGTGCATCAAAAAAATCAGTGAATTGCCAACCACAGCCTTATTAAGGGCAACACCAAAAAAACTGAGGGTGTATGTAATTAAAGGCTCATTTACATGCTTCTAAACAACTGTAGAGAGAGCCCATGCTTTTTAGGGCTAGAGCGTCTTCCACTGAATGATACAGAAAGACATTTTAATTGTCACAGCCAAGAAGCCCTTTTCAATTTATTTACTGGATCTGGAACCATTGAACCATTTGGACCATAATAAAGCATGCAGATCATAAGGCTTATAAGTATGCATGCAGTTTTGTCTTTCTGAATAAACTGAATGGTGCTGCAATTTAAGTGGTCAAGTGTTTATTCCAGTGATGTCATAACTCCAGTGGTGCTTTCAAATCAAATCATTAAGCAAACAAGACTCATCATTCAAATAAGCAAAAACAAATTAGATTTATTGAAAGGTTAGCTAATTGTACTATATCACATCAAATGCTGAAAACGTGTTCATCACGGGCACGACTTTCGACTCGAGAGTCGAGACAGGCAAAAGTGGTAAGAGGTAATTCTAAAAATGGAATATAGACAATCGCTGAATGCATCAGAAAAACCTTCTTTTGAGTAGAGATCAGTTGATCGCTGTGATTGTCGTCATGTTACTGCACTTTAACGATACCGAAAATGACATCAGTCAGCAATTAGCAGTAGGAAAATGTAATGCAGTTCCCATACAGGAAACATCTTTGCATAGCTATCAAATAACAAAACGGTTACTTTGTATACTTCTGCTGTTTTGCTGTTATGTCCTTTATTAAGGTGTTAGCAGTAGAATCTCTAAGTTTCACTTTAACAGGTATTTCTGGAATCTCACAATTGTGGGACATGACAAACAAACAATTAGTTGTTATAGCAACTGAGAACACAGCAGCACAGCCACCTGGATTACCGTATGTGCCAACACTATGTATTAGAAATATGAAGTGACTCGGATACGGATGTCAGGTTTTGTTCAAGAACAAGAGCCTGAATAGCTACGCAAAACCAGATTGTCTGAGGGAAAAGCATGTAGCTTGTTGTTTTCCTACATTTTATTTCTAAATCCTCTTGGTGAATTATGCAATGAATGAATGTCTGTGCTTTGTTCAAAATGTATATTAAGAAAGACCAAAAAACCTGCAGATTCAAACTCTCTATATTTGGAATAAATTTTTACAAAAACATGGCAGCTGAGGTAAGAACTAGAGGAGTAGTGTTTCTTCAGTTCAGTGTAGTAGCTGGACTAGCTGGGCTGTATTGTGGCCCCACCTCTCAGTCACAGGCGACACAAGATCTCATCTGTCATGAGAGATGTGGGCTGAGATCCGTTTCAAAATCGTATGTGGAAGGTTCTGCAAACAAGTCAGAAACGTTAGTTGCATCTGATGTGGCTCACTGATATGTTTTAATCATTTAAGTTAACCTATTAAACATTATAACCTAATAAAAATGTCTGGCTGAGATTGTTTAGTTTCATGTTTAGTTATCTGTGTTTCATGTTTACATTAAAAAAAAACATCCAGTACCCTATTTAGCTTGTTGCAAGTATAACAAAATAACCTGTAGTACAGCATATACAGTATATACTCTGTTTAACGTAGACGCCTGAAAATACATTATGTCTCTGAATGTTGTATATCATTTCCTCATCAAAAGGAAACTTATACATCTACAGCGGGGAAAATGAGTATTGAATGTGTTAACGTTTTTCTCAGTAAATATATTTCTAATGGGCTATTGACATGAGACTTATTGATTTACAGAGGCCCCAGGAACCTTCAAGATTTCAAACCAGCCGCGTAATTTAATGACCAGATCAATTGTGAGTAAGTAAGCTTTTAACAGAACAGGCTTTGTTTCTTTTTTTCTGGAAATTCTGATAAATGGTATCAATCATAATGCTGTGAACAATGTCATTGGCTCGGCACTTATTGATGTCTGAACAGCATACATTCTACTTCATCGCAAGAGGTAATTAGCTCGTTTCAAAAGCCCAAAATGGGCTAGTAGTTTTAGAGATATTCCTGCCACATTTACCTCAAGAAGTCAGGAGCCCTAGAGATTATGTTCTCAAAGTCAGCAAAGGAGAGTTTGCTGTCTCCATCCAGGTCTGCTTCCTTGATGGCTTTTTCAGATACAAAGTTTATCTCCACAGGTATCAGATCGTCTCTGGTTAACTTAGTCAGTGTTTTCTCCAGGTCCTCTTTGCAGATGAAATCATCAGTGTTAAAATCTGCCCAAATCAAGAAAACAATGTTATGTAAACTTTTTGTGGATGCTTTTGGTTGACGTTTTTTAAAATATACCATTTCCACGTAGAAGGTACAGAGAAATACTTGATTAAGAAATGCAGCCTCAGTTGAGAATGAAAACTTTTCTTACCAGATATTTTGAAGGTGTAAATGGCCTTGAGTTGTCTGGGAGCCATTTCGCTGAGCACAGAAAACATGTCTACAAAGTCATTGAAGCTGAGGTTGCCTAATCCATCCTCAGAAAATGACTCCACGATACGATTTCGGAACGGGTTCGCCTCCAGAACATAACAAATGGAAGAGCCCCCATTCTGCTCACACTGCTCAGGGTCCAAAGATGAATGACAAGCTAGTGTAGAGTAATGGTAAGCCATTAAACAGCTCAGGGACACCTAGTAGAGCCACAGTGCTGGCCCACAAACCCTGAAATGCTATATTTTATAACTGCTAATGTACTGGTTCACTTAAACTAACCACTTAGTCCTCAGTGACCTGGGATGAGTTAGATCCAGTTTCAGTGAGCAGAGAAATAATCAGTCTGGCTGCTAAGAAGCGAACCTGATTGTTGGACCTGACATCATTACAGGAGAGTGATGACACTGAGAAGTAGCATTATATTAACCCATGCTGATTCACAGACTGATAGCTAGCGCTGTCTGCCATTCTGAATTATGTTTCATCGGCTACAGTTAATTACTTTTTGTCAATTGTTACGTGCCGTAAGTGTTACGTGCCGTAAGTTCAGGAGGATGCCTACAGGTTCTTCGGACGTCCTGCCCGCTCGCCAATTGGTCAACTGCTCCATCGACTCCGCCCTCTGGACCTGACCCCGCCTTCCTTGCCTTCGGAGCAGTTTCCGGTTCGTCGGCTGAAGAGATTCGTCCCTTCGTCTGCCCGCTACTTGCTTCTCGCCTGCTTGCTCGCTCTTCGTTCGCTTTGCTTTTGTATGACTGCTTTGTTCTTGACTTCCGATTTTCGCCTCATCCCTTATTGTACCTTCGCCCTGGTTTTGACTGTCTTCTTGGTTTTGAACTCTCGCCTGTACTTCGACTTCGCCTCTTTGATCTCCACTCTGGATACCTTCGTTTCGATTGTATGTTTGCGTGTTCCACTAGGTGTGTGTAAGGAGTGTCTGCCTTTTTGTTTAATCGTAAACGCGGAGATTATTATTTGTTTGGTTAGGGAGAAAGGTTTAGGCATTGTTGTTTCGTTTCACCCTTTTGTGTTCACTTAGGTAGCTTAGCTTTATACTCGGTAGATGTGTTTTGTTTGTTTCTTTGGCCTTTGTCACTCCTGACGTTCGTTACACCTAGTGTTTGTGAAAAACTATTAAAAAAAACTATATAAAAAGACTCCCTTTGTGTCCCGTGTTCCCTTCTCCTACTCCTGGTTGTCTTGTCCTTCCCAATCACTTTTTTAGGCTCCAACCCTAGACTGGAGCGTAACACAATATAAAAATGTGTAACACCTGCATACTTGACATAGAAAAAGGTTTTTTGGTTCTGAATCTACAAAGTATCCTGCTTTCAGTTACAGAAGCCAAAATCCATGTTTTCAATTCAATTACAACAATAAAATAATAATGAAGAATAATAATGAAATCCCAGATGTATGATACTGATAAATGTTCAGTTTATACGGAAGAGGATTAGGGCCACCATGAAAATATTATTTGAATTCTGACTTTAATCTCAGAATTCTGACTTTTTTCTCAGAATTCTGACTTTAATGTCAAAATTATGACTTTTTTTTTCTAAACTCAGAATTCTGAGAAAAAAGTCAGAATTCAAATAATATTTTCATGGTGGCCCTAATCCTCTTCCGTATAAATGGGACACAGTAAATGGATCGAAATTACATTTCTTTTTTTCTTTTTTCTTTTTTGCAATTCATTTGAATCTCCTAGTTATTTTGAACAATCTGTCCTGGGAAATTGAGTTGGTCTGATGAGTACTAGAAAGCACATGTCGCATATGTATCAACAAGTTTATTTCGTAAAATGGTAAGAGGTGAAAACTTATTTCCACCACTTTTTTTTGTGCTGGGTGAAGAAAGATTTTAGCAGGAGAGTTACCCTCAGTTCAGGCATCTTGATGATGACTGCAGAGGGCAGTTTAGCGTCTGGGTCATCGGTGTAGTCTAGCGGCATGACACGTGGAGCAAGCTTGTGGTATCATCCATGTAACCTGAACAACAGAGAGATGGTAATCAGCTGACTTTGGTTATGTCAATCCAAATGTCAGTTACAGAGCCGGAGGTTGGGTGGGTTTGCAGCTATCAAATAAAGAAAAGACATTTAGTGGTACGTAGGTTGTTAGTAGGTAAGTAGGATGTTACGGGTAAGTAGGATGTTCCAGAAAATATCCATAAGATTAAATGCAATAAGCCATTAACTGTGTATTGATTCAATGTTATATTGAAACAATGTTATTTCCTTAAAATGAAGTGGATGATGAACACAGAACATAAAAGTAAAGGGTCAAAATATAAAACAGAACAAAAATCTAAAACAGCAACAAACACATAGACTAACACAACAAAATAGAATGTTTTTCCTGTGTTCCATTACTAATTGGAACAGGCTGAAGGCTCTTTAGTCTGCTACATTAACTGTTTATAAACCAATATATTCTATATATGAGAACAAGGCTTTGACTACTGATGGTTATGTGTCATTAATTCATAGGAATTCCAAGGAGGGCCTGAATTGTAGCCCAAGGTGAGGAACTCTGTCAAGCTAATCAGGCGTTTTTTCCCTGAAAACTGACATAGTGCTGTGATCCACATGGTTATGCTTCAGTTTCTTGGAATGTATGCATTGGTCTCTATAGATTTCCAAGTCAGATTTCATCTCAGGATGTAATATGATTGTGAATCTAATCAATCAGTGTGTGTATAGTAGTCAATGTCATGTTTTACTCATTTAAATATGTTTATATTTTTATAAATACACACTACCATTCCAAAGATTTTGCACACAACAGGTTTTTGCTTCATTTCCATTTATTTCATAAACTGCAGAATAAAAAAGATTTTTTTAATTCTTGCTAAGCATTGGATAGTTGAGTGAATGACTATAAATGGAAAAATAATTAAAATAAAACAAGTTTCCTTTATAACATGGAAAGAGTATGTAACAGTGCATGTCTGACATGCTATTAACTGTTTGTGTGGTGATGGCATAGTCAAATTCTACGCTGTTCTTTAACTTTAAATGCACTAGTTAACCGTTACATCCTAAGAAACAGTGCAGAATTTAATGTCCCTTGTAGAAAGAATGCTTCAAATTTTCTCCGCTGTTGTAACTGCTAGAGGAGGTAACTTTGATGAATCAAAGATATGACATTTTCTAGCTAATAAAGGTACTCAGATGGTGAACATACTGTAAATATTTTTGTTAGCAAAGAATATTGAGTTTTCTTGGGTCCTTTCCCAGTAGTCTGTCAAAATGGACGTATGTTGGAATTTGTATATACAGTACAATCTGACAACTTATAACATGAAATAATAGGTTTCAAAAAAGCTATTATATTATGCACTAAATTTAATGTAATGTAATCTCTTATCAGTAAAAGTTAATCAAAACATTATGCTGGTATTATAGTTAATGGCATGATGTTAAATGTGGAATTAAAAAGCTATACAAGAAAGGGAAGACAGAAGAAGGGAAAAGGAAGCAGATTATTATGTCAATGGCAGGAAAACAACAGCAGGCTGGAAAACAGGCTTATGAAAATGGACAGATAGCGGACGTGAGGAGGACAGGATGTCCAGCAGCCAACAGAGTGGGATGGGAACAGCAAGCTGGGTGGCAAAGAGGAGCGGCAAGGCAGCAACACATTAAAACAGAGCAGATGTCATCGGAGAGTGAGTAAGCCTGTTGGTGAGTGTGGGCGTTCCACAGTGGGGCTGAAATGAGAAATGAGTCATGCCCTAAAAAGTCATTTCAAGCAAAATGCCTGCAAGCAGAAGAGTAAAAAAAGGTCTTTAAGGAGAGTTTTTAGCCCCGTGACATTCCATGAACAGAGCAGACCTGAAGCTACGGTCCTACTACAAACCTTACTGTCTATTTTCAAAGTTACCCAGAAGTAACACAAATGTTGTGCACAGACACTCAGTTTGTCTCTCACCAAATGTAATTAAATTCCCCAGATGCCAATAATTTTGTCATGGTGTTTCTTAATTAACAATTGGACAAACAGAAGATCGGTTTGCGGTTTGCCAGTAGGCAGTACTCCTTTGATGTTCTCATCAGAATGTTACTTCAGAATAATTCAACACAATAACTCATTCGCTGCATGTATGGGGGGGCTGGGGAAGGGGTATGTTTGTCTGGGCTCTGTACTGGATGGGGCCCAGAATTAGTCATTTCTTAAAGTATAAAAAGCGAAATCTACCAGGGGGGTCTCCCTCTAGTAGGTAAAATCTATCACGGGGGACCCCCAATTTCGGTATCAGCCAAGGTCACCCCCCCCCTCCACCTCTGCTTGTGAGAATGTACTAAGGGGGGGCTTCTCCTCCCCCACCATCCACCTCAACACCAGGGTACAGGCCTCTGCTTTATTTACTCCACAGTCATGACTGTATCCATCCACAACGGTAACAGATACATACAGGAAGCATAATGACCCCTGATAGCATTAATAATGCCAGTTGCTCCCTAAATAAATAATACATAATCAATAAAGCAAAATGATTTAACTTACTATTCTGCATTAATAATCGGACTTTCCCAATGCAAATATTTTAGATGTATCCTGAGTTCATCCCAAATTGCACACTTATTTTATCAGCGCGTTCGCTTCGTGAACTTTCATGCCGATGCACCGATGCGAATCCGTGAATCTTACTATTTCTACTTATGACTAATTCTGGGAGCTTTGCTCTACAACTTTAACAAAGATACCAGGTACAATATTTAATAATATCAAGATATTTTGGACAATTATTTGGTTCCAACTTTGGGGAAGGCCCTTTTCTGTTTCAGCATGACTGTGCCCCAGTGCACAAAGCAAGGTCCATAAAGACATGGTTGGGAGAGTTTGGTGTGGAAGAACTTGATTGTGGCCCACACAGAGCCCTGACCTCAACCCCATCGAACACCTTTGAGATGAACTAGAACGGAGATTACAAGCCAGGCCTTCACGTTCAATATCAGTATCTGACCTCACAAATGCTTTTCTTGATGAATGGGGTAACATTCCCAGACGCACTCCAAAATCTTGTGGAAAGCCTTCCCAGAAGAGTGGCAGCTGCTATAGCTGCAAAGGGGAACCAACTCCATACTGATGCTTATGGATTTTGAATGGGATGCCAGAAAAGTACCTATAGGTGTGATGGCCAGGTGTCCCAATCCTTTTGTCCATATAGTGCATATATGACCAATACTCTGTAACACCAAAGAGTTAGCATTCAGCAATTTTCCCTACCTATCACAGACACTTGAATTGCTACTGCTATCCAAGCTATGCAGGAACAGACCTACAAATAGACACTCTGTGATAATAATCCATAAACGAGAACTATATGTTCTGCTCACTCCTCCAGATCATCTGACTCATCACTTGCAGATCCTAATCTGCAGATACGACACTGAGGCAGAAGTGAAGTGGCAGCACTCCCATGTCGGTCAAAGTTACTCACCCGAGTGGTCCTGCAGGTCTCATCCATTAGGCCTCCCATCCTGCTCCCCCACAAGTCACACCAACTTATTTGTTTACCCTTGTAAGCCAAGCTCCATACATTCTGACCTGATAAATAGGAGGACTATCCTCCATACGGTCATGCCAGTCCAGCAAATCAATGGGCAAGAATAATATC